ACTATGCCAACACCATATGATACAACTTAGTATTAATTCTTATCATACAAATTTTTATTTAAAAAAATGTTTAAAAAAATAATAATAATAATACTAAAATGAATAATAATAATAATAATAATAATAATAATAATAAAATAAATTTATTTTATTTTAGATTTGAAATTCCTCTAACAAACTTCCTTAAAACAAAAAAAAACATTTAAAACAAACTTGTTTTTAAAATTTAAATAATCAAATCATATTTAAAACAAATTTATTTTAAAAATAATCAAATCATATTTCTTATTTTAAAAATTATCAAATCATATTTAGACAAATTTATTTTAAAATATATATATATATATATATATATATATATCAAATTTAAAACAAGCTTATTTAAAACAAATATAAAAAAAATCAAATCATTTCTAAAACAACATTTTTCTATACCACGTACTGCAGTGTGGAAATTCTGGGTGTGCTCGCGGGTCTGAAACCGTGAAGGAGCACTCGAGGTCGGATTCAACTGGTCGGTGATCCGTGCGTCGATTGTTGAACTTTGCGCCAGACTACTGTGGTGCAGGTTGTCTGAACTTGAGATCATCGGGGACTTGTGTAGTCTGTGTATCGTCGGGGTTGCCGGCTTGGGTGAAGAGGAAGAGAAGGTGATGGTAGAGAGAAAGAATGAAGTGAATTCTTCTCTGTATGGGTTCTGTCTGTCTTTCCTCCCCAACCCTCCTTAAATACACCTAAAACTAACCATAAAAAAGAAAAAGGGGAAGAGAAGAGAGAAAAAGAGGGAGGAGAAGAAGGGGAGGGGATACACGTATGAAGGAAAAATCAAAGGAGAAAAACTGTATTTTTTTTTATCTTAAATTCAATTTAAAAAAACCAATTATTTTGAAATAAAATCTAATTTTAAAACTTAATTTGATTTAATTAAAACTTTACATTAAATTTTATAATAAAGTAAATTATGTTATTTTAAACTAAATCAATAAAAAATAATAATAAATAAATCAATAATAAATTTTTTTTTTAAAAAAAAAAACGAAAGTGAGCCGGACCAAATACGGTGTCTACATACTCAACATCTCATACGATATCACTTATCTTATGCTAACCTGTCACCAACTTTTAAAGCATTTGTGACTTCCTAGATTAGATACAAGCTCCTAATACAGTTTAAGAAGCCTTACAACAACCTGAATGGAAAACAGCTACTTTAAAGGAGCTTCAAGCTCTTAGAAAAATGGGACATGGACTCTTATAGAGTTATCCCAGGTAAGCGCACGGTTGGATGTAAATGAATTTTTATGACCAAACACAAACCAAAAGGCAGTATAGGTCCGTTCAAAGCTCACCTTGTGGCTAAAGGATTCACTCAGTCTTATGAGATCGATTATTAGGAAACTTTTGCTCCAGTCACCAAGTTGAATACTATTCGAGTACTTATCTGTATTGCAACAAACTAATATTGGACATTGTTTCAACTTGACGTGAAGAACGTATTTCTAAATGGTGATCTACTGTAGGAAGTGTACATGGATATACCTCATGGATTTAAGGACAGATATACTAGAGGGAAGGTGTGTAAACTCAAAAAGTCTCTCTATGGACTAAAGTAGTCGCCTCGGGCTTGGTTTGAAAAGTTTACAAATTTGTTGAAATAAGATGGTTATTCTCAGTGTCAATACAACCACACTCTTTTTTCATCTAATATTCCTCATTGAGTAAGATTATTGTGTTAAAAGTATATGTTGATGATATAGTTCTCACAGCAAATATTTATGAAGAAATAACTCGGCTGAAACAACTTCTCATAAGAACATTTGAAATCAAGACTTGGGGCATCTCAGATAATTCTTAAGGAATCGGTCAATGGAATTAGTAAGATCAAGTAAAGGAATTTATGCAACTCAATGAAAATACGCTTTAAATCTCTTAATGGAGACTGAGACGAGTGGTTGCAAACCGGTTGATACACCTATGGATGCAAATTCAAAACTTGGAGTTAATCTCGAAGATGAACCAGTTGACCGAGGCAGGTATCAACGGCTAGTCGGAAAGCTAATATATTTGACTCACACCCGATCAGACATTAGCTTTGCTGTCAGCGTGGTAAGTCAATTTATTAATGAGCCTTCTAAGGAACATATGAAAGCTGTGAATAGAATATTGAGATACCTCAAGCACGATCCTGAAAAGGGTCTTATGTTCAGAAAGACCACAAACAAATCTCTAGAAGTCTACACTGGTGTATATTGGGTCGAATCTCCTGTTGATCGTAAGTCAACATCAGGATATTGTTCCTATGTCTGAAGAAACTTAGTAACTTGGGCATAGCAAAAAGCAACCAGTTGTAGCCCGAAGCAGTGCTAAGGCTAAATTTCGATCATTAGTAAATGAGATATGTGAAGGCTAAAATGTCTTCTTACTGAACTCAAGATCAAGACAGAAGGTACTATAGCGGTATTATGTGATAATCAATTTGCCATAGTCATTGCAAGGAACCGATACATCATGATCGAATAAAACATGTTGAGATAGAGATTGTCACTGCATCAGTGAGAAGATTGAGACAAATACACTCAATTTGAGATATGTACCTTCCTAAAAGTATTTATTTTGAAACTTTAAAGACTAAAAAGACATTTGGATCAAACCCCAGGGATAAAAAATGTATTTTGCCAAAAAAAAAAACTTACAATTGAAATATCTTTGGTAGTAATTTTTTTATTATCACACAAAAAATTTCATCGGTATACTAATATTTTCATCGACATTTTCATATGTTCATGGATTCAACACTAACCTAAGAGATGAATCGACATTCTTATAGAAATGCTTATCTGTCAATTTATAGTTTGAGAAGATTCAATTTTCTAAAATGAATTTCTAAATCTACGGATTCATGAACATCAATAAATAAATATATATATATATATATATATATATATATATACAATTTTTTTATTTTCAAAATTTTTCTAGAAATATCTATTTACATTGATATGTCTATAAATTTTAGACATCAAAATTTTCGTGACATCAACATTTAAAACTTTGATATCACATCGTATATATAGGAGAGTAGAGATCTAATAGTACGACTCATAATAAGAAGGTCGAGATACTTAACTATTTAATTTGGCTCAAGTTAACATTTGAAAATAGTTATTAAAATTAATTTTTTGTGAACATTGATTCACAAATTTGTAATTCTGAAAAGATATGTGTGAGAACATACTAAATAAAAAAGAAAAAAGAAAGAGCAACTTTAAGATTTTTTTTAGTACAACATATGGGGTGAGGTTCAAACTCATGACATTTTGATCAAAGATATGTACCTTAACTACTTGACCTTTAAGATTAATATTTCTTAGTACTTAATACCACTTATTAACAATATACATTATTGAGATTAATAAATTAAAATAGATAAAATAGAAGGGTTTTTTTTAGTATGATAATGGAGGGATTCGAACCCATGACCTCTTGGTCAGAGATAGATACCAATTATTCTTTAATCGTCATAAAAATTCCACCTAAGTTTAGAGAATGATAAAGAGAAAAGTAAGATATACGAGTTACCTTGTAAACCAAATGTAGTACAGTTAGAAGGTTGTCCCGTGAGATAAGTTGAGATGTGTGCAAGCTAGTCTGGACACTCACGAATATATAAAAAAAATGTTTCAGTGCTATAACTAAGAATATTTTATTTTATTTTTTTTAAAGGAAAAAAAGAATATTTTAATTTTAGGTTTAAATATTATTTTGGTTCCAATACTTTCGATTTTGATTTTTTTTTCTGTCCCAATACTTTCGGAACATAAATTTTGATCCCTCTGCTTTTAACTTTTGTTCATACACTTGTTAAATGTTTATTTTGGTATCTATATCTTTAAAAATGGTCTTTTTTTGTCAATTTATTTTCATTTCTATCTCGTTTCTTTCAATCAAAATTTTAACACGACACTTATCACTTACAAAATTTCTTGAAATGTAACAATAAATTTATATTAAAGGATTTTCACTGTGTATAAAATTTATGTTAAATTTTGTAAATATTGACCAGAAAATTACAAAAATCAAAATAGACATTTCGAAAGTAAAGAGACTACAATAAAAAAAAAAGTTGAAAGTAAACAAACTAAAATAGACGTTTTAAAAGTAAAAAGACATACATGATAAGTATACATACCAAAATAATATTTAAACCATTTTTTTATTAGGTAGGATTTGAGATTTTAGATAGAAAGGGTTAAAAGAAACTAGAATTTTTTTAAAAATAAAATATAATAATTGGTAAATATGAATGGGATTTTTTTGTTTTAATGATTTAGAAAAATATGAATGGAATTAAATCATTGAAATGTCATGCAAAACAATAATAGAAAGAAAGAAAAACACTATTGAAAGTATTGGTGCAAAAGCATAGAAATGATTGGGGGTATGCAAAAGAAGCAGCATTTGATGCTTTTTATAACTTTCTGTTTCTGCTTTTTGTGACCATTTTGCATCAGACAACCCTTAAATTCAGCTGTTTAATGTAGCACTTTGTTTGACCATTCCAATCAATTTTGCATCCTAACATAAAAATACTATTATACGGCTTTAAATACATAATTAATTTTGATAGGTTTCTATTTAGTCTCTACATTTCAAAAAGTGATAATTTTAGTCCCTTTATTTAGACTCTAGAAATACAAATATGTTTAGGGTTAATTTGAGTTCATATGCTGTCCATAAAATTAACAATAGAATGAAAATAAACAAACATTTTATCAAATATAAGCTAATAAACCTTCTTTATTATTATAATTACACAAACCATATATATGAGTCAAAAAGCCATTTTAAGACTAAAGTACCAAAATTAAACAAAAAAAGTTGCATGATAATAAGAAATAAATAAAATTTTATAGTCAAATAGCATAGCTCAGCAGTAATTGACATATATCTCCAATCCAGAGGTTGTAAGTTCGATCCCCACCCTACATGTATGTATTCAAAAAATAAAAAAATAAAATTTTAGAAAAAAATAAAATTTTAGAACATAAACTAAGATAAAAAGGGAGGAAAAAAATACAAATAAGACCAAAACAAATGTAGATATAACTACCATATTATTAATTTTGAGGTATAGCATCTTTTGAACATTCATAACTCAGGAATACAAAAAAGAAAAGAAAAACACCAAACCTAATGCTTAGCTCAACGGTTAAAGCATATTCGACCAAAAAGTCGTGATTTCCAATTCTCACCCGTCACTTGTGGTAAAAAAAGAAAAAAAAAATACACAAAAAAGGTACTTCCACAGCACAAAGTTGTAATTCTTCGTATACCCATAAAAAATGCAGCAGTTCTATCATCGATGTAATCTCAATTAAAAAAGGCCAAAGAATAGCCAATGGGAGGAGGATTTATGTACAAGACTCTTACTTTGTAAAGCATTTTCTAGCAGCAATCAATGGCGCTGATCCAATAGCCAAATCCTCGTTTATTTCCATTGTTCTTGATTGCAGTTGGAAAAATCTGCAACATTTTCTCTCTCAGATTTTCCGGGAAAATGTATACTTATAATCATCAGGATCATCAAATCCTACACCAGGATCTCTTCCCTCCCTCATCTTCCTTCTAACATCTTCTACTCTCTCAAGAATCCCTTTAACTGCTAAATCAAATGCATCTTCAAAATCCCTCATTCTTGATCTGGGATCTGCATAAACAATCCTTGGAATGAGTCCTATGACCTCCTCTCTCATGGCGGATTCTCTGTTCTTGGGAATCCCTTTCAAAACCCCTTCTATGCTCTCGTTCCAGTTGTTCACATCCCTCACGGGTATATACACAGAATAAGCTGTTTGGTTCTCGGGAAAATGCCATAAATATTGGGAATAAGCAGTACCTGGATGAAATAAAACTGGAATGCACCCAGCTAAAATCGAATCGAATATGGATCTTCTGGTGTATGAATCTCCTGGAGGTTGCAAGCAGAAGATCGAGCTCTGAAACTCCTTCATCGTGGTAACTGGATCGTCGCAATTAACCCCATCGGAACTGCAATCGATGAATTTGCAGAGAGATGAACCTCTGCACTGATCGATTACCAGGCCGCGAATGGAGTCTCTAAGCTCCGGCCGTGGAGCGCCGGCGAAGGTGAACAAATGGCGGCGCCGTTTGGCTCTCATGAGTCTCTGCCATTCAACAACTTCGCTGCGATTCGAAGGATGGAAATACGTCGGATACGGAATCGCGAAGTCGTTCTTCCAAGAACTTCCTTCCACGGACAGCATCGTCATATTGTGAGATTCCGGCAGGAATCTCAATTTGCTTCCCCAATCGGAAACCTCATCGGTTTTCCTCCGGAAATCCCAAGAAATTCTCCCGGCGACGAAGAAATGATCCCTCCCAAACATCCTCTTCCACTCCGATTTCGTAGAAATCAAACTCAGGAAATCCCTAGCCGAAGAATCCCTCACCGAGATGCTCGGATTCCAAAGGTAATGGCTGATATCGAGGCCGGCGTAGAACGGTACATAAACAGCCGACGCCATGGCCGAATCGTTCGTCAAGCACTCGTACTGCTTCATATTGTTGTGGAAAATCACTTCCARCAGAAATTGATTCGTCTTGAACCAACTATTRCCGGAGAAAACCCCTGGAGAATCTCCRATTCCAGGCCCGAGGCCGGCGTTCGCCAGATACGGACACATATCAGGTTTGTCGGTTCCTCGAGTGAGAGAGCGGCAGTTTYCGGTCAAATCGGAGTTGAATCTGCTCGGAATGTTCTGGATGAACACGTAGCGGCCGGAGCAACGATCGGCGGGGARTTTGAAGAGGGTAGGGTTAAGAGATGAAGCGATGGCGCCATTGTTGRRGGAGCGGAAGGTGGAGTAATCAAAAGAGAGGAAAATGGAGATCAAGGCGAAGGAAATGAAGATGGCGAAGCAGAGATCGGTGGAGCAGTGGGTTCTGATCAGCTTCTTCTCCATTTTGGGCTGTGGGTGTCGGCGGAATCTGAAGCGAAGCAATGGCGGATCATTGGAGTGAAGGAAAACCAAAACCCATGATGAAATTCAACGCAGAGAGAGGATTTTCAGAAGAAAATGGRTAGAAAAACAAAAAAAAAAGGTTCAGAATCTGCATGAAGTGGGAAGAAGGAGAAGAAGAAGAGTACAAATTCCACTTTTACGCCATTGATTGGGTGACGGAGGAAACAAAATCGTCGGTTACAGTATTGGGAATGCCCATCTCTTTTAATTTACCAACGCACACTAAGCTGTTTTTATTTCTATTTTTTTTTAGTTTCAATATTTGTTATGAATTTTTGTATTTTTATAAATTTTCTAGAAATATTATCCATCAATCCATATTTTAGTAATATTTTTGTAAAATGGATACCTTGGCATTTCCATGACAGGAAATTTAAATGTCCATTGTTTAACCTATTAGGTCATGTTTACTTCAACAAAATCAGAATAAGAAATGTATTCATGTTTACCAACATGCACGAATGAGAATTAAATGGTAGAACCCACACAAAATTTTCATTCTCATCCCCTAAAATTGAGTAATCTCATTCCTTTCTATATGTCTGTCAATCTCATTTTCATTCTTTTGTTGCCTGGGCTCGACACATTTACTAGTTACTTTTCTACTTTTTATCATTTCTATTCATGAGATCTATAACTTTTTTTTAATTAATTGTTTTATATTTTTATTATTTTTATTATTTTTTTCATTTATACAACTAATAATTTTTATTCTAATAAAAATTTATACCACTCTTATTAGTTAATATGATTTTATTATAAAATATTATCAATTTATATTTAATTTTTAAAACTTTACGTCATTATTATTAATTACTATTAATAGATTTGTTTAAAATAGAATTCATTATTATTCAATATTATAATAATATTTTATATTAAATAATGATGTTCCTAATAAAAAAAGTATTTTAGTTGATGTAATTTTATTTTAATTATTCATTATTTATTAGTATTAAATAAATTGTTAATAATAAAAAATATTTACTATCAATAATATAGTAATTAATTATTATAATAATTAAAAAAAGATTAGTACAACAATGTATTTGTTATTAGCTAGAAAGAAGAAAAGAGACTCATTGTTATATATATGATTCCGATTCCGATTTCGATTCCAAATAGTTTTAATAAACAACATAAAAGAAATTATGATTCCTATTCTAACAAATTTCTGGTAAACAGCATAAAGGAATAATATTTCTATTCCGATTGATTTTCATTCCAATTCATGCCCATTCTGATTTTTGGTAAGTAAACAGGGTTTTAGTTCAACTTTTGCCCTAATATATTTAAATTTTTATTTGGAATTCAAATATAATTTGAAGAGTATAGACATTAAATACCTGAAAGTTAAATATCTATGATTTAAATATTTGAGATAATTAATAACTAGAGGTTAGATTCGTTTGATATTACGTTTTCTTTTTTTGGTTTTTAGTTTTTGAAAACAAGGTTGTTGATAACCAATTCAATTTTCCCTTTTTTGATTTTCAAAAACTAGTTTGTAATTCCATGTAAATTTTAAAAACAGATTTCTTTTTTTTTTTTTCAAAATCTCATTTTTTCTTCCAATACTCAAGTAAGACAAGGGTGAAAACTCGTGGAGTGTTTTGAAGAAAAAGATTTAAGACAATTAATTAATTCTTTTAATGCGATCATAAATGGTCAAAAACTCCAAATATCAACCTACATCAACAAGGATGAAGAGTTAGAGGAAAGACTCCGTAAAATGAGGAGAAAACTTCATTGGACCCACACTCAAATTTTGTTTATTTGAAGGGTCATGAACAACCAAAAAGTGTCAACAGGAAGAGAGAGATTAAGAGAGGCCAAGTGAATGACCTAGCACCAATGATGCCTATCGCAAGCCTTAAAGACTATCGCATCTCATGCAATGCCTCCTTTGCCGCGCTCGCCTCACCCTGCAGGCCAACGCCCCACTATAGCGCATGCCCAAGCCACAACGCCCTATGTTGCAAACACATGTCACGCCTACCCCTGCCACTCACCATGCACGCACCTCGCCCCAAACCTGTGTGC